AAACGTGTATGCGAGGGGTAACAAAAACCCGGTTCTTCTGACCCTAAAATTAGAAGCGATGTTAAAAAAAAAGTTGGGTCTCAATATTATTTAATTAATTTAAACCCATTAGAAACCCATTTAAACTCACTATAACCCATGGTTGATCATGCTCTTACGCACCCATAGTTATTTTTATTTTACAAATGGAAATTATTTAATAAAAATATTGGTTAAAATATCATTTTCTAAATTTCATGTTTTTAAAAGACATAATCCATTTCCAAATGAGTATATTTCTTTTAGTCAAAGTAATATTTCGACTAAAAGAGAATAAAGAATTGAGAAACAAAAAAAGAGAGAGAGATAGTTTTAGATGATCTAACTTGTGGGATGTCAACAAAAAAAAACATAGATCATCTTAAACCCTTCTATATTGTTTTGTAAATTTGATTAATTAATAAAAGTTATAATTAAATAAAAGGATAATTAATAGAATAGTCTTAATAAATAGGGTAATTACTAGAATAATCTTCACAAAATATCAAAACCTAATTAAGGTCATAAAAGACATATAAGCCTTAGTAAAAAGTTTTTATTACGAAAATATATTTCTAATTAAAAAATAAATTGAAAAATTTGTTTGAAACCGCGGCCGCGGAGGCTGCGGAAACACAAGAGACGCGCTCGGCGGAGGTGTGGAGGTTGAAGAAGCACCGAAATTTAGATAAAATCGGATTAAAAATCATAAGGTGAAAAAAAAAACTCAAAATCTTTTGATTTTTGATTAGAAAATGATATATGATGTTAGATCTACTAGTCATAGGCTAAATCCAGTTGAAAATAAGTTAAAATACTGTAAAAACGAGTTAAAAAGTGGTTGACCGCCATTGTTAGGGTTTGACAGAAGCTTGATTGTGTTGGAGAAGATGAATCGTAAATTACGATTTTACCATTTTTGAATAAGTCTACTACTACTATAAATAACTTTACCACATATTATAAATCTACCACTACTACAAATAAGTCTACCACATATTGTAAATCTACCACTACCACGACTATAAATAAGTCTATCACTACTATAAATAAATCTACCATCGCTAACAATCAATAAGTCTACCGATCAACAAATATAAATCTACCAAGGAAANTAATAAGTCTACTACATAATATAAATCTACCGCCACTATAAATAATAAGTCTACCATCACGACAATCAATAAGTCTACCGATCACAAAATTAAGTCTACCGATCACAAAATTAAATCTACCATGAAGGCATTTAAATCTACCACTAGTAATTAATCTACCATCACATATAAATAAATCTACCACTCAACAATAAGTCTACCGAGATAAATCTACCATTCGACTACTAAGTCTACCATTCAAAAACAAATCTACCATTGATGGCGTTAACTCTACCACTCCAAAACATCTCTACCACTGCCTAAAAATAAGTCTACCGAGATAAATCTACCACTCAACAATAAGTCTACCATTCAAAAACAAATCTACCAACCACTAAATAAATCTACCATCATGTGACCGGTAGACTTATTCGCTTTTGGCGGAAAACTCATTAATGGCAGTTTCGTAAATACGTTTTTTGTTATCAAAGGAAATAAGGGCAAAACAGGTTTTAAAAATCTTTCAAGATTAGTTGAGTAATTATGAAAGATTAGCATCAAAATTGTAAAAAAAAACCATTTATTAAGACTATTTTAGTAAATCTACGAGGACAACGGCGTCACGAGCGGCTAAAGCTAATATATCAGCACATAAGCAACTTCATGGCACAAATCTTCGAGCTGTCTCTTGATGTCTTCAATGACTTCTAACACAAGAAGATTAAGGTTTGCATCTGCGGTTCTCTCTGTGTTAAGTCGAAAGATTAGCACCGCGCCATCACAACCTTCAACGGAACAATCACTAAAGTGCAATTTTAGCATCCCTGGTTGGGTTGTATAACGAAAGAAGCCTTCGTGGTTGCACGGACAATCGATTCTGCAAGAGGACACGACAAGGAGTAGAATCCTTCTGTTAAACTCTGACCGTTGATTGAGACTAGATTATAGCTGAAGATCATCAAGATCACTAAAGAATAACATGCTAATGTTCGATCAAACCCCATCTCCCTTATAAAAAATTGGTTTTGAAAAAAAAAAAAAAATAGCAAATGTCATTTATAGCTAACAAAAGGTAGCTTTAGCAATTTGCTAAGAGGGTCACGCAAAACAAATGGGTCAGGCCCATTAATCAGGCCCATTTTATATGCGTCGGCGAGTGAGTTTATGCTTTTCCGGATCTTTTTCTCCTCGACGACGCTTTTCACCGCCTGGGAAGCTACGAACTAATCGTCGTCCGTCGTCTGCGAAGGCTACTAACCATGGCAGAAAATTCGTCAAGGAAGAACCTCAAACGATCTTTCTTAGAAGATGATGATTCCAATAAGCAACCACCGTAAGTTTCTTACAAACCTTTTCCTGAAACCCTAATCCCCCATTCTTTTTCGTTTCCCGTTGAGTGATTCAGTGCTAGGGATAAGAGAAAACTGAGTTCGTCAATGTTTAATCTGCGTCTGATTCTTTCAATTCCTGAAATTTTGTTAGCGTTAGGATGATGCGAGAGCTAGAAACCTGAAATTGAGTGCGTGAATTGAAGGATTCGTTGTTTTTGTTCGAAGGAATTTATCATTGACTTTGAGTATTAATCAGGTTTTGATAATTTCTCTTTCAGTTACAGTGCCTTCGTTTTTGTATATACAACTTTGAGTGCGGAGCTTAAGATTAGTTTGTGTGCATACGGTAGAATGTGGATTATGGACTACTAGTTTGGTGTATCTCTTTAATGGAGGATTCTCTCTGGCAGAGAAAAACGAGTACGGTTTCCTAAAGGGAAGAAATCTAAACCTGAACAAGTCTTAGAGGAAGAGACTGTAGCTCGCCGCGAAGCCCGTGCTGCTGCTGTGGCGCGTGCACAGGCTCGCAATCAGATTACTGCTGAGCTCTTTATCGACGATGATAATATCGATGAGGCTGGGGAGACTTATGAGGTAGGATTTCTGCTATCCTTGCTAATTTTGGTGTCTGTTTCTGGAAGCAAATGATAATTGGAGACGGTTTTAATGTTTGTGATGCGATTATCTCAATGTAGAATGATGGGAACCGCACAGAAGATGGGATTCAGATCGAAGCTTTTAGTCTGGACAGGGAGAAAGAAGAAGGATACTTTGATGCTGATGGGAACTTTGTAGAATATGTTAGAGAAAAGGAAGTCAAGGTGCCAATCACACATTTTTTTTTTTCAA